CAAAGTGGCTGTTCAAGTCTGTACTTCCAGCAGCAGTGGAGGAGTGTTCCCCTTTCCCCACATCCTCTCCAGCATAAACTGTCATTGGTGGTTTTGATTTTAGCCATTCTTATGGGTATAAGATGGTGTCTCAGAGTTATTTTGATTTGCATTTCCCTGATGACTAAGGATATTGAGCAATTTCTTAAATGACTTTCAGCCATTTTAGATTCATCTGTTGAGAATTCTGTTTAGTTCTGTATCCCACTTTTTAGTTGAATTATTTGGTGTTTTGGTGACTAGCTTCTTGAGTTCTTTGTATATTTTGAAGATCAGCCTTCTGTCAGATGTGAGGTTGGTGTAGATCTTTTCCCATTCTGTGGGCTACCATTTTGTCTTGTTGACTGTGTCCTTTGCCTTATAGAACCTTCTCAGTTTCAGGAGGTCCCATTTATTAATTTTTTATCTCAGTGTTCTGTGCTGTTAGTGGTCCCCATACCAATTCATTCAAGTGTACTCTCCACTTTGTCTTCTAAGAGGTTCAGTGTGGCTGGATTTATGTTGAGTCTTTAATCCATTTGAACTTAAGTTTTGTACATGGCAATAGACATGGATCTATCTGCAGTCTTCTACATGCCAGCATCCAGTTTTGCCAGCACCATTTGTTGAAGATGCATTCTTTTTTCCATTGTATAATTTTAGTTTCTTTGTTAAAAATCATGTTTTCATAGATGTGTGGATTAATATTAGAGTATTCAATTTGATTCTATTGGTCTACTTGTCTAATTTTGTGCCAATAGCAAGCTATTTTTATTACTATAGCTCTATGGTAGAGCTTGAAGTCAGGGAAGGTGATGCCTCCTGAAGTTCCTTTATTGTATACAGTTGTGTGGCTATCCTGGGTTTTTTGTTTTCCCATATAAAGTTTAGTATTGTTCTTTCAAGGTCTGTGAAGAATTTTGCCGGAATTTTGATGGGGATTGCATTGAATCTCTGTAGATTGCTTTTGGCTAGATTGCCATTTTTGCTATGTTGATCCTACCTATCCAAGAACATGGGAGATCTTTCCATTTTCTAGTATCTTCTTTAATTTCTTTCTTTAAAGATTCAACGTTCTTGTCATACAGGTATTTGACTTGTTTGGTTAAAGTTACCCCAAATATTTTATGGGTTTTTTTGTGGCTATTGTGAAAGGTAATGTTTCTCTGATACCTTTCGCAGCTCATTTATGGTCTCTATATAGGAGGGCTGCTGATTCTTTTGAGTTAATCTTGTATCCTGCCACTTTGCTGAAGGTGTTTATCAGCTGTAGTAAAGTATAGTAAAGGTAAGTAAGAAGTTACAGAGGTTAAACTTCATTAGGTTCATGCCAGTTTACTTCAGCATTTGACACAGTGAGCATTCTTGGTGATTTCCTACATGTATACATATAGTACATTCTCAACACGCTAACCAACCCCCCATCCTCTCCCTCCCCTGCTAAGCCCAGCCCCTCCTGGACATAAGTGCCACTCTTGCTTTCGTGTCTTGTTTCATTTGTTAAACAGTATTTTATTAACTCTTTCAGAATTTCATACAATGAATTTTGAACATATTCATCCTCCTTCTTTTTGTACACTTTTATGACCCATTGAGTTTAGCCAGGAACCACCTGTCCCAGTATGGGCATGGGTGTGGAACTAATCACTAGAACAAAGAGGATTAATGCTACTGAAGAAATGCCCCGCCACCCCCATCATCTATAAAAAGCCTATAGTTCTCTAAGGATGCACAGGCGCCATGAACCCTCTTCCATCTCAACACAGCGTTCACAGGTCCAGTTCAAGGGCTATGTCATGCCCAGATGATACTGTTTATTTCCCTCCCCCCATCACCTGGCTTTTGCATTCTTTCTGCCCTTTCTCCTTCGTGTTTCTTGAACCTTGGAAGGGCTAGTATCGATGACCCATTTAGAGTTGAGTAATCAACAGTAATTTAGTATCTGTTATAATATTTCACTTTTTCATCTCCAATTTTATCTTTTTCACCTTTTCATCTCCAATTTTATTTGGCTAAGGATTCTTAATTATGTTTTTATTTTCAAAGAATCAATTCTTCTTTAATTTATTCTTTAAATTATGGTTTTGATTTTGTTATATTGTTTCTATTTCATTAACATTTGCCTTTGTGTTAATTATTTCTCCCTGTCTATAGCTTTTATGTTTGTTCTGGTTTCTGGTTTTGCCAAAGAACTTAAAGTATACCATTAAATTATTTATTTGAATTTTCTGATTTTTTTTTAGTTTGGACACTTACAGTTATAAACTTTCCTCTAAGGACTTGTTTTATTATATACCAAAGATTTTGATATGTTGTGTTTTCATTTTCATTCAAATCTAGAAATTTTATATTTCGTTCTTGATTTCTTCAATGGCCCATTCATCATTCAGCAGTACATTATATAATCCTAGTGAATTTCTGTAGTTTCTCTTGCTTTTTATTTCTACCATTCTATTGTGGTAAAATAGAACACTGGAACAATTGAAAGTTGCTCTGTGTCCTAATATATGAACTATTTTACACAAAGAGTTCAGTGGGCTGCTGAGAAGTATATTCTTTCATTTGGGCACAATGTTCTGTGGGTATCTGTTAGGTCCAGGTGATTTGTGGTGTCATTAAACCCCATTGTTTCTCTAATTTTTATCTAAATTGCCTGTCTTTGAAAGTGGAATATTGAAGTTACCCACTGTTGCTGTTTTGCCATTCATTGTGACCTAACCTGATACCTAGTTACATTTGTTTGATGAGATTGGTTTTTCCTGTTTTTGGTACATATATTTTTAGAGTTGAAACGTCTTCTTAAGGATTTTCCCTTAATATGAAGTGACTCTTTATCACTTCTGGCTTGTTTTGGTTCCAGGTCTATTTTTTTCCAGGTAGAATTAGCTGTGCCTACTTGTTTCCTAGTTCCATTTGCTGGGGTACTTTTCCATCTTTGTATTGTAAGCTGGTGTCATCTTTGGTAACGAGGAATGCTCTTGAAGGGAGCCTGGTGTGGTTTCTGGGTACCCGTTCTCCTTAAGCTGTGTAGCAAGTGCTCTACTCACCTGTCTGTCTCCAAGCCCTCCATAAGCCTTTTATTGATAAAATTTTAAATATTACAAATTATGTGCACTGCATACAATTTTTGTAATCCAGGTTTACAAATATGAAAAGAATGGAGTTTTCTGGAAGATATAACAGTGATGCTCCCTAACCTCCAAATTTATCATAAAGGTTGATTTGTTGGTGCTGAAGAGATTTTCCATATTTTGAAAACCTTTGTAAATACCTTTCCACCTGTATGTACCAGTACTGCCAAATGCCAGTGTGTATCCGTGGGACATGTCTTTCATTGAGTACTTTCACAGGTTGGGAAGCATTTTTAGAATTCTATTAACTGAAAGGCTAGAATGTTTTTAGCATGTCATTACATTGCAAATCATTTCCAGTAGAAGCTCCTCAATTGCACACCAAATGGGTTTTGGAATATGGAAATTTTCTCTACACATGCATATAGGCATATAGCAATGACAAACATTGCTCTCGTTTGAAATTAGAATGTATTTGTGGGAATTTGTGTAGGAATGAAGCTATCACTTTGAAAAATACATCTTTTGACAGTGCAGGCCTGACATGACTTGCAGTTCAAACAATTTTAGTTCTCATCGGAATGATTTTATCACAGTATGCTTCACAGGAGCAATTCTCCCTTGTAATTTTAGTTTAAAACATTTTCAAGTCTGCAGCTAAAGCTAATTCCACAGCCCTTCAAAGCTGATGAACACTGGTTGAGCACAGCTCTTTCAACCATTTAAAAATGCAGGAGCCACTCTTAAGTTAGTCTGGCATGTCCAACATGGTTTCTGACCCCTAACCTCTAAAGTCTTCAGGAACTGTGTCCTAAGTGTGTGTGCCTGAGTGTCAAAGCTATACAACCAATTATTAACTGTTCGAAACTTAGCCAATGTGTTAATTCCCTGTGTGATGATTCATTGCATATTGTGCATCTATCAAAGCATGGCATTTTATTTCCTGTAAATTCATATAACTCAAAAAATCTGAAATTAGCTTTTTCAATTTACATTTATTTGAATAATATGAAATATCTTTACATAATTATAGGACATTTGTATTTATTCAATATAGACCACCAGTTTATATTCTTTTTTCCATTTTTATTACAGTAGAATTTTTATTCCAGGGACCATTCTGCACACTACAGAACTCTTTTCAGTGGCTATGTTTACTGTGCTTACTCTGTAATTTCCGCTGCCTTTCTCCTTTACCCAGCACTTCTTCCACCAGACAGACCTGCCTTCCCCTCAGAGCGGTTCAAGCTTTGCCCACATATGCACAGACATCATTCATAATCTGCTGCTTCTCCCAAAACACGTCTCAGAAGTCCTTCAACATTCGGATCAAGAGCAGCTCCAGTGTGTACAAACAGCTGCCATTAAAGTGTATCACCGCTTTTATAATTAACAAGTGGTCCATAAACATGTCTCTTCACTAGATTCAAAACATTATCTGTAACCTGACTGAGTTAAAAAATTGTAGTATTAATAATATAGCCAAGCTCTCTTGAGGCCAGTGCAATGACATGAACTGGTAGGACCAGATATTTGAAAGGCAGAATAAAAAGGATCATTTGAGTTAAGAGTTTGAAACCAACCTGAACCACAGAGAGAGAGAGATTCCCTTAGCCACTAAATCCTCAAATATACACACAAAGTCACAACTAAGGTTTTTATTTTAATAAAACTGATTGTTGATTATTATAAACATACTCTTTTGCCTTATGACTTAAAATAACTAGTTACAACTCTGTTCTCTAAGAAAAAATAGCCTCCGCTAGTAAAGAACTCTGATAAATTTAAAACAGAGAGAATATTCATCAGTCATATCTATTTTATCATCTGAACATTTTTCCTCTCAGACTCCACGTTGTAACTTTGTCAAGACCACTTTTTAATCAGTCCTTTGTCTCCTTTGTCCCAAAGGACATTCATTACCTTGCCCTGGATGTGGGTGAACTGGCTCTGGCTGAGGTGGCAAGAAGAAGAGCATGTGACCTTGATGTCGTGTCTGTTCCCTCTGGAATCGGTAAGGGCTAATGCACTTTGTTAAAGAGCTTTGGCGTGGGGACTGGAGAGGTGACTCAGTGGTTAAGAGCACTCACTGCTCTTGCAGAGGACAGTTCCCAACTGTCTGTAACTCCAGGTGATCTGACAGCCTCACACAGGCATATGTGCAGGCAAAACATCAACACACAGGAAGCAAACTAAAACAGTCTTAAAAGTGCTTTGGTTCTAGGGAATTCTTAATGTCATTTCTATTGTGTTTATAGGGCATACTTGATTTATTTGAATTACTCTTTGCAGAACACAGTATATTTTAAAGCAAAAATTAAGTTTGAGAAATAGAATATTCTTAAACAAGATGTAGTTTTAAAACAAATTGATAAGTAGCACTAGCCAAGGTCACTGTTTAGCAGAGTGTAAAACCATGTTCCTCTTTTTTATTTGAATTTATTATTATTATTATTATTATTATTGGTGCACATGTGTGTGCACATGCATGTGTGCACCAAAACACATGTGTGGAGGAGGAGGGTAGAAGACAGTTTGTGAGAGTCATTTCTCTCCTTCCCCTGTGTGAGCCCCAGGGCTTGAACTCAGATCGTCAGGTTTGGCAGCTGGCACCTTCCCCCTGCACCATTACTGCTTCACCTTGCCCATTTCATGAGATCAGGGGAGTGCTGTTATGAACCAGCACAGAAACTTACATAACCATTTCCTGATACACGGATGCGTCATATATTAAAATAATATCAGGGAATTTCAGGATTCATGTGTGTGCTTTTGTTCATAGCTGCTAATGTCACTGTTTAATGTAGTATTCTAAAGATAGACCAAAGTCAACACTGACTTTTAAAGTTCATTTAAACTTTATAATGTAACAAAGTGGAAGGTTTTATATACAGTATAACATAATTAAAATACGCCTGCATGTACTTTCTGTTTCTAAATCCAGCTTGTCTAATGCTGCTGAGTGTGCCAGTATTGACAATTAGACATCAGAATTCTGATTCCTCTTAGTTGTTCTATTCATAGACTATGAAAAAGACCCACAGGACTATAGTAGACTTGGTTTCACGTATCTGTAATTCCTAAACAGTTTTAGAAGATTCCCCCTTTCAAATTGCTTGAAAGTCTTTCCCAATGAGTCATATAAGGTTTTGGCTTTGTGGTATTTGCATCCAAAGACACCACATCTCAGCTTCTCTTAAACCCCTCCACCATCAGTTCTAGTCCTCAGAGTGTAATACCGAATGAGACAAAGCCACAGAACCAGGACAAACCAGGTAGAGATTCTGAATTTGTAGAGTTTAATTAGGGAAGAAAGAGTCATTTTTGACACGATACAACACAGCCGTGTGGTTAATGCCCATAAAACATAAAATTAACCTCAATAAGAATTAGATGGTAGCAGTAAGGTATAAAATATTGTGTCTCTTCTATTTCTTCTTGCTTCTCAGTACTATATGCTAAAATTTATATTGCTTGTTAGTATGACAAGAGGAGCTAAAATAAATAAAATACAAAGGATTATATTCTATATTTAAAATTATTTGGAAAACACAAGTGCTATAAGCCAAAATTTAATAACTCTGTTATAATAAGGTTATAATGTAACTTGAGACAGTGTAAATTTTGTTGACCTAAATAGAGAATTTGTTCATTTTTATGCTACTTGATTATTTCAGGCATCCTCAATCTGTAGTCATCTATTGTTTAAGTAATTAATGTGTCAAGTTTTGTTAAATACAAGAATATGCATGGAAAGATTTGTGGGAATGGCTGGTTTGGGTTTGTAGAACACAACACGGTGACAGAGCTGAATTTGGGCTTTGACACTTCACTGGTTGCTACCAAGACCATGGGTAAGGAATATAGCTATAGCTATATTTATAGTTATACATACATGTATACATTCACATGTATAACTGTATAGGCATTGCTTTTCCTCTAGATTTCTAAGAGAAATAGCTATTATTTAAATATTTCTGGGAAATTGTCATTATTTTATCTTTTTTTTTCTTTGCAGGATTGGGATTAAATGTAGGGTCTCATGTATACTAGCCAAATGCTGTACCACTCAGCTCAGCTGCATACCCCACATAATTTTGAGTTCTGAAACATTAAATTATTATATTTAAAAGGTATGGGCTTGTGTAAACTTGCCTATCATTAAATTGGCAGTTACTAAGCAAAGGATGATAGTATTTACTGAGGAGATAGTGTCTACACTATGTTGAGTCCTAAGCTGGGATAGTATAAGGATAAGAGCAGTGGTTCTCAACCTTTAATACCATTCCTCATGTTGTGTGACCCCCAACCATAAAATTAAATTGCTACTTCATAACTACTTTTATGAATTGTAATGTAAATATCTAATATGCAGGATATCTGATAAGTGACCCCCAAGAGAATAACTATAAACATTGCAGCTCAGATGGAAAGGTATCCTAGCAGTCGGGAGCCAAGGAGTACCACAAAGGCTCTGTAAGTACAACAGCTTATGTCTCCACTCAACTCTGCTCCTGGGAAGTGTTACAGTTCTGCTCAGGTCCCCTCGGAGTGTACCAACTCTGCTTAGCTAGGGGAAAGCTTCCCACCAAAAATGTTAGGAGCTCTACTCCATTCCAGCTCAGGTGAAATGTGTTACAGTGGGCTGCTCTCTGTTGAAAGTGTCACACCACACAACAAACCTCACTCAAGAGATTTATTGGGAAGGAAAATTTCAGGAGGGTATCTGCCTCTAGGGTGAGAAGCAGCAGCAAATTGAACATAATACAGAATTTATATAGTGTTTCATGGAGGCAGGGATGGGGAGCTTTCCAGGGTGGCTTAGGATTGGTGTGGTTTTGTGGCCTGATTCTGTGTGCTCAGGATTTGGTGGGATTTCAAGCCCTGGTCCTGGGGTCTAGTCAGGGGCAGGGTGTTCTTTCCTTGACCCTTTTGCCCTCCGGTTGTGACCCACAGCTTGAGAACTGTTGGTATAAAGCATCAATTTTCCTGGGAAATAATTGCTGTATGTTAGTGAGTACATGTTATTCACTAGGCACAGTTACAGTCATGTTTTTCAAGTACAGAAGCCATCTGAGTTAAGTATTAGTTTTCCACTTTAGAAATGAGGACACAGGCTCAGTTCCAGAGCCTGGTTGAAGACCATAAGCGTTTGATTGCTTACTGTGCACTCAGAGTCTGCCATGGCTTAGAAGTTCACTGGTGTTCCTGTGTGTCCCGCTGCCGTAGCATTGACTGATACCAATTTACACACGCACGCACACACACACACACGCACACACGCACACACACACGACTAAGAAAGGTCCTCTTTGTTTTTCACACAGACTAAACAGCACTAATCTGGCTGCCTCTGATGAGTGGGCAGCACACTGCAGGAAGGTGGCTCTCGGCCCCCATCTCAGTTTCTTCAGAACGATTGTGTGGCACGTGGACAGATTACACTAGAGGATGCTTCTCTGTGGACTTGAACATCCCTCGTGAATGGGAAGCAATTCCTTAAATTAAAGGGGATTGAATTGTTAATTTGGTGGGTATTGTGACTTACAGCTATGTTTCTAATATAATAGAAAATTAAATGCCATTTAGTCAAGCAGTCTACTTTAATGGAGGTATGTGTGTGTGTGTGTGTGTGTGTGTGTGTGTTACTTGTATATAGTCAGAGAAATTATTTCTCTTGCGTTGCCTAAATATCATGGCTTCTCACTTCATTTGCCTGTAATCACCAATGAAAGTGTTTAGAGCTAGTCTACATTATTTAGATTTTCATGGTGATTTTGCTTAATGAGTGCATGCCTCAAATACTGGGTAAATTTTCTTTCATTTTTTTCTTCTTTATTGTTTATAGCAGCTAGTTGCCATGTTCTCTGTGAGTGGCTTGTAAGGAAGAAGTGGGACAGGTTTATGCCCAAGCACTCATATTCAGAAGCAGGAGACAGGATAAAGTGTGAAAGGGAAATGGTGTTTCTGTTAAAAACGCCATCTTTTTCAGAATTAGACTTATTCATGAACATACCACTGCAGTGATATGTAGAAATGCCTGTTTCATTATTTTGTGAAATTTATAGTTTTTTTCAAGATGGCAATCTAGATATTTGAAATGGATTAATTTAAGCAGAAGATCTGGTTATTACAAATAATGTAGCTATGAACATAGTTGAGCAAATGTCTTTGTAGTGTGAATGTGCCTCCTTTGGGTACTGCAGGGTCTTCAGGTAGCTTGACCCCTAATTTTCTGAGAAATTGCCATACTGATTTCCACAGCAACTGTATAAGTTTGTACTCCCACCAGCAGTGGAGGAGTGTTCCCCTTTCTCTACATCCTCTCCAGCATAAGCTGTCATTGGTGTTTTTGATCTTAGCCATTCTGATGGATGTAGGATGGAATCTCAGAGTAGTTTGATTTGCATTTCCCAGATGACTAAGGATGTTGAGCATTTCCTTTCTGCCATTTGAAATTGTTCTGTTGAGAATTCTCTGTTTAGATCTGTACCCCATTTTTTAAGTGGATTATTTGGTAGTTTGATGTCTAGTTTCTTGAGTTCTTTGTATATTTTGGAAATCAGTCCTCTGTCAGATGTAGGCTTGGTGAAGATCTTTTCCCATTCTGTAGGGAGCCATTTTGTCTTGTTGACCATGTTCATTGCTTTACAGAAGCTTCTCAGTTTTAGGAGGTCCCATTTATTTATTGTTGCTCTCGGTGTCTGTGCTACTGGTGTTTTATTTAAGAAGTAGTGTCCTGCGCATTTAAGTATATTTCCCACTTTCTCTTTTATGAGGTTCAGTATAGATGGATTTATATTGAGATCTTTGATCCATTTCTACTTGAGTTTCGTGCATGGCAATAGATATGGATCTATTTGCATTCTTCTACATGTTGACAGCCACTTATACAGCACCATTTGTTGAATATGTTTTCTTTTTTCCATTTTATATTTTTAGCTTTGTCAAAAATTAGGTGTTCATAATTGTGTGTGTGATATCGGGGTCTTCAATTCAATTCCATTGGTGCAC